GTAGCATGGCGTAAGGCATTGCCTATTGCAGCCGATCCATAATGCGCTGTATTGTTTGCACACGCCGCGTTCTCCTCACACTCAAAAAGGAATCCCGCCATCTATTTGGTGGCTTTCCTGGTGAGGTCTCACCTGTCCGAAGCCCGCCATGGCTCCCTGGGGTCCCCCCTGCTCCGCGTCCCGCCGGGCGTCCTCCAGGGCGAAGGCCGTCCCGTCGGTGTCCTGCACGCCCTCGTCCTTCACCACCACGCCCTCGCCTCCGCCTCCCAGCACCTGGAATAGATGACATGAATGTTTATCAGGCCCTAGCAGAATCTGATGAAAAAAAAAAGATATATATAATATACACACACACACACACACACACACACACACACACACACACACACACACACACACACTTGCCTGCAGTCTGAGCGGCTGCCTCTGCTTGCGGCTGTGTCCGGCCCCCCTGTCTCGTTCTCCGTCCCTGCCGCGCTCCCTGCCTTCCAAGTCCTCCTCCTCGCTGAAGTGCTCCATGGCCACCAGGTCGTCGGATAGGTCGGCGGCGTTGCCGCGGAGACCGTCCCTGCCGGCGCCGTCCACGCCGCCGGAGCCGCAGCTCGCCGACAGGCCGGCGGCCTGGGCGGGCCCCCCGCTGTCCGCCGACTGCACCAGCAGGTCGCGCAGCTTGTAGCGAACGTCCTGCGTGCAGCCGGCGCTCTGCTTCAGCAGGCCGCCGCCCAGAGCCTCGCCGTTTCCACACAGGGACGCCGGGCCCATGTCCCCCAGCGCCATCAGATTGTTGGCCTGCTCCAGGGGGCCGCAGGGGTCCTTACACATGGGGAATAGATCAAAAATACACACATATTGCCGCCATACCATGAAAAAAAAAAAAAACGGGGCATTCTGTGTCATCATGACACCCATTTCTCATTTTAATGTGATAGCTTCAAAAAGGGTTAAAAAGATCCACTACACCCGAATTTAGCAAAACAAAACGAAGAACTTCAGTTGCCGGTCACTGTCGGAGCCCAATGGAGTCACGTGTGTCTTTCAAACTGTGATATGCGTTTTTTTCAAATGTATACCGTATTTTCCGCACTAAAAAGGCGCACTGGATTATGAGGCGCACCTTCAATCAATGGCCGATTCGGTAATTTTCCTCAGATATTAAACACACACACACCGCATTATAAGGCGTAATCTACAATGCATCCACTAGATGGAGCCACAGCCGTTCATTTGACTTGAGAGGCGTTCATGACGGCCTCCGAAAAACGTAAATTAACGTAAAAAAAAAAAGAACGTCAATTAAAATAAAATGAATGTAAACACACACACACACACACACACACACACACACACACACAAATCAAATTCTATACTGTTGCCATCACATCCATACTTGTGTCGAAACCCTGGGGCCGGGGCCGCTCTCGCCGCCCATGTTACTGGCTCCGCATTCCACCATGAAGTTGGGGAAGTTGGGGTATCCTCCGCCGCCGCCGCCCGAGCAGCTGCCGCCGCTCTCCCTTCCTTTCCCGCCGCCGCGTTCCTCTTGCTTGGGGAGGACGCCGGCCAGCATCCCCCCGCCGGCCGCCGCCGCGGCGGCCGCCGCCGCCGCCTTCCTCTGCGAGATAATCTGCGTGCACTCGTCGATGACCGTCTTGATCTGCAGGATGCTGGCGGCGGTGAGGATGCAGAGCGCCTGCGACTGGAGCACCACCAGCGAGCCGCTGTACATGAAGTCCACCAGCTGCTTGACCGTTTCGGCGGGCACCAGCGGCGGTACGGAGATCTCCGAGTGGCCTAGGAGCAGCTTGTCCTGGAAGAAGGGGCTGCCGGCCGCCAGGACGCAGGCGTGCGCCCGCAACGAGGCGTCGTGGATGCGCACCGTCACGTCGCAGAAGAGGCCCTCGCGACGTTGGGTGCGCAAGGCCTCCAGCACCGACTGGCTGGAGTTGTGCAAGTGGATGTAGTGGACCGTCTCGGTGCCGGGCGCCATGACGGGCGGCGGCGGCGAGTCGCTGGGGACCGGGTGGGGGTGGGGGAGAGGGAGGGGAGGGAGGAGGTGCCTGGGGTTCTGCGTCAGCTTGAGGGATGAGAAGGACGGGGAGGGAAACGGGTACAGCGCATGGGCCACGGTGGGGCCGGCTCACAACTCACGGAGTCATGGGGGCGGATGCCGCGGAAGCGAGGCGAGCTACTGCTGCTTTTATTGTTGTCGGTTGTTTTTGTTGTTGCGGCCCTCTGGAGCGCGGTGGGGAAGAATCACTTATTTCCTTTCGGTGAGGAATCAGAAAAAAAAAATCACCTTTTAGTTTGTGTAAGCAGGATATTTGGAAGTACAGCAAGGCTCATCTCCATCCCACGCCAATAGTCATAAACCTTACGTACATGCCGT